GGGCGGCCATGAAATTTTCGAACCAATTGGACCTTGGGGCATGTCAGCTCCAATGCTTGTTAAGAAGTCCAAATCGTAATCTATGATCCTTCAAGATGTTGCTTTCGTTTTGCGCGCTTCAGCTGAGCCAAATTCGCCGCTCGGACAGCTGATCAAGGGCCGTTTTCGATGACCTCAAACTTGTCAACCTGAATTGTAGCCATTACCGTTCAGTTGTGACAGCCCTCACAACATTGCACGTGCTCAGCCGTGTGCCTACAAGCCTTAACACAACCTCACTCACGTTACCTACCCCTCCTGAGCTATCCCAACTTGCGCAGCCCTAAGCTAGCTGCCGTGTTCTAGCCATGTGGGCGTCACCGCCGCAGCCAGTGGCTGCGGGTGATGATGCGCCATGGCATCGCAGCAGGAGACTTGCAAACAGAGACTATGCAAAGGCACGTGTTGAGAGCGCTACAGTAGTTTGTTTGGGGAAGGTTTGCAAACATGAGCAGTTACTAACGCACCACAGATTTGCAGAAGGACGTGCAGCTTCACGTTTTTAAGGCCACAGTCCAGCACTTAGCCATAAAGTCGCGCAATGATGTTTGTCATTTCCAAGTGCGTTTTGGATGCCAGCGTTCGTTTCGCCAAGCTGCTTCATGCGTAAGGCTAGAGTAGACAGGCCAGGCTTAATTTGGCGTGAGATGTCACACAAGGGTTGTTAGTTTTGAGCATGGGTGGATCATTGAACTTTGGAATGTGGCCACGTTTAAAGCAATTGGTGGACGTACACACGCCACAGACGCTTTTGTTTGTCAAGGAGGGCTGCCAGAAGCCAGGGCGACGAAGGCCTCAGCAACGGAGCAACTCCCAAGGCACCCGTGGACGCTTTGGCTGCAGCTAGTGCTAAGCAGCCGGCCATCGTAACGACGATGTCCAAATCCATGGCCATGCCATCATTGCCTGCATTGCCAGCACCTGCGCCGGTGGCACCCTGGCATAAGACGTCCCCTTTGCCAGCCCCGCCTTGGCGGTCTGCAACGCTACCAGCACCGCCTGCCAAGTCATCAGCACCTTGGCAGGGCTTGGCAAATCGGACCGCACCAATCTCGCCAGCAGCTTCTCCCAATGGGTTGACCAGCTTGGCAGACCGAGTGGCAGGCGTCCTGGGCCCCGCTGCGGGTTCGACGCCGCAGGCAGACGTGCTGCCGTTGGCCGAGTATCGGAGTCGTTTGGTTACAATTTACACAATGCACAACCCGAGCAATGTTGCCAAGATCGATTACTTGTTAAGCAAGTACAAAGGCCAAGAGCAGCTTTTGTACGACAGTGTTTGCCAAAAGTACCAAATCTCAAGAAGCTGGGATGGACGACAGCCTCTACTGCCTGGCTCCGCGAATGCCGTGCCATCCAACAGTTCCACGGGGCTTCCTTCCCTCGCAGCCCTGAGCTTAGTGCCCTGCAGCAGTGCATGCGACATGAAACCGAACCTTAAGTTCAAATTTACTTGGAAGAAGAGGCTACTAAACTCCAAATATGGGCTCTCGTTACTCCAGGGTATTAAACTGCGGTTCATGCTCAAGCTGATCCAGGCGGATTTTAGACAAGACTGGCAAATCTCATTTTTGATGTCCGGAAGATTCACAGACAGCGCAGTTCTTAGTTTTGGGTATGTCTCAAAAGCAGCGTCCCCTACTAAAGCCTGGAACAGTACTAGTCTTCCTGCAAGTACATCACATCAAGGGTACGTAACGTCGAGAAGTTTAAACTTGACCTGCGTGCCACATTTAGGTACAGCCTTCTGAGACGCAGCACAAAGAGCAGGCAGGCATTGTTCTTTTGGGATTGCCTTTCTTTCGAGTGCTCGAAGTTTTTGTCACCTTGAATTTCGAGGAGGTTCTTCATCAGCAACGATTATTGCACACGTAGGTACGAAAACAATCAAGGTATTATAGCCAGGTCTCAGCCTGTATCCCCGCATGGTTTATTTGTTTCGCATTTGATTCTCCATTCTTGGAAGAATGTTCCCTTTGAATCCCCATATCCGCAATGTAGCCCCAATATTACCCAAAGGCTAAACGGCTAAACCCCCTTCTAGGGTAATATCCATAAAGCCTACAGATCCCTGTTGCTGCAGACTGCCAACCCCAAACCGTAAACCCTAAACCTATGAGGCCTAAGCCTTAAATTCTAAACTCTACTTAAACCTTAAACATTATAACTAAAACCCTAAACTTTAAACATAAAACTTAAACCCGAAACCTTAAACTAAAACTCAAACCTTAGACATTAAACCTGCATTGTAACCCGTAGGCTGCGCAACCTGGCCCAGTGAATGGTGCGCACCTCGGGGGTTCCTTGGGCTCAGGGCCCAGGGTTTGGTATTAGGGTTATATTGGGATATATTGGGGTTATTTGGGGAGAATGGAAAAGAAAATGGAAACTACTATACTATAGTGGGTTATATAGGGTTTAGGGTTTAGGGTTTGGGTATTACATGGGAGTTAGAATTTATGGAAGGTGTAGGTTTCATTTAGAACTTGTTTGTGGATTTTATTTAGGGATTAGGGTGTAGGCCCTAGGTGTTTGAATTGTGTATATGATTTTAGGATGTACATGGAGTTTAGGGTTTGGGCTTCCAAAATAAACGGTCCTCGAAAATACGTACGTGTAATAGGTTTAGAATTCCTTGGAAGGGAGTTTCTGCGCATCCTACACCCTAAACAGCGTGGCAAGGTAAATGGTCTGCTTGAATGATGCATGATCGGCAGCTCCCGCTAAACAACACTCTGCTGGCTTCGACCCAGCAGCAACACCTGAATAGTGTTCTTTCTGGGGATTTGAGCATGCTGGATTCACTAAGCCCCCGATGTAGAGAAATATTATATCTTCTTTTTGGCTATGGCATTTCACAAAACTATTATCTTATGTGGTTCAACCACACAACAACCCTTTTTACCCGACCAAAAGTTCAACTTTGGCCCCACAACATGAGGTGCCATACTACAGATAGGTACCAAAGTAAAAAGTGCCCCTACTTGAGGCATAAGCCCCAGGAGCCGAACGTCACAGTGTGTGGTGAGCGTTTGCATGATTATTTTTCCGTAGTATTGCTGTCCACTTGGGGGAGACCATAAACCAAAATCTTATCTCAGAACCTTGCAAACGATCCATCCCAAAGCCCCAGATTCACTCCTAGATGCTCACAAGAGTACCTGAAATCTCCTTCAAGCAAGCTCGATTAAACAGTGTCTCCGAAAAAACCTTGAAATGATCTTTGAAAGATATACCCTGCTAAAGCCCAAACCCTATAACCTAGTAAACTTAGTAAACCCGATGAACCTTTGGCCTGTAAACTCTAAGCCCTGTAGACCATATTGTAGTAATTTCCAAAAATCTTTTCCATTATCCCCATGTAACCCCAATACCCTATTTAACCCTATATAGCCCCTATATAATCCCTATAGTCCCTGTTGTTTCCATGTGATTTTCCATTTTCCCTATATAAC